CGTCATATCCAGTTCACAGAATTGTTATAAGCCTAAAAGTGAGTAACATGGAGTGGGAAAGCTGCATTTTGCAATGAAAATGTTGGAAGAATGTACGAATATCTTTCCCCCTCCATTTTCTTTGCAAAATGTGGAGGGGGCAAACAGGGATCAAAGTACTCTTTACTTCCCAGTATAAAATGACCCTCAATTTTTCCTTTAATTGTTTTAGGAAAAAGTGCTGGTTTATACATGGAAATCTATGGTAACTTTCGTTTTCCTTTAATTATTTTAGGAAAAAGTGCTGGTAACTTTCAAGGTGTCGTGACACATTTTTGTGCCACAGATGAATAGGCATTAAGCTGAGGTCTGCCCAGGACCTTCTTGATCAGTCAATAAGTTACACAGACCTCATGCAATTACCAATAGGATTCCAGCCTGGAACTCTAAGAACAGACATGTGAATTCAGAATAGTTTCAGAGCAGTAAAATGGGGAGGTACATTCCTGTTTGTATGAATTATGCAATCAAGTGGTAGAAGGAGTTAGTATCAAAGATGGAGTTAATTTCACTGGTATTAGCAAACATTTCAGAATGAAAATGAATGGCCATAAAAAAGAGGAAAGAGCTTAATGATGGATTTGGAAGGGAGCTAGGCTTCAGATGACAAAAGGTCCCACTACTTTCGGGATGGTTATGATGCCACAACTAGTCCTATGGAATAGTCAAGAAAGAAAGTAGAAGTGACTCAGCTAGTTATGCCTGGGGAAAAGGAGTATAAAAGCATGTTTTGAAGCTTTCTATCAATCGGTTAATTGCTGTAGATCTCACTTTCTTTTTTATATCATTAGGATGTTCCAAATTATGAGTGTGAAACTCCTGAAGGAGTCCATACCACATTGAGCAAAATTTTGGCATCTCTTAATGAACCAAGTATCAACTATACACTGAGTTTTGCCAACAAACTCTGTGGAGACCATGCTGTTGCCTTCATTCAGGTAATTTTCATTAATAACTACTGTCCAGCAGAGACCAAAAATAGTGACTATTCAGGCCTGAGTGAATTACAGCAGAAATAGACTTAATTACTACTGGATATCAGTAAAAATACCGACTGATTCTCAGGTTACAAGATGAAAATCGTATTGTGATGACTGCTTTTTCTACAAAAGACCTGACTAGCAATGTCGGGCATTCAGAAGATTTCAGAATGCATCTTCCCTGTACAGTTATGGCTGTCTGATTCCACTTGAAGTGCCACGGCTTTATTCTACGAATCCTTGGATTTACAATTTAATGAGGAATTTAAAGTTTTCTGTTGTATTTTATTTAAATTTATTTATTTAAATAAAAATACAACAGAAAAACTTTAAAAAGGTCCCTGACCTTTTTCCTTTCCTTCATTATTACGTTTTCTATCTCCATCTTATTGAATTTTTTAAATTATGTACAAATTCCTTTTTATTTATATATTGTTCTTGTATTTTTTTTCCCTTTGTGTGTTGTAAGCCACCTAGAGTGGTCAATATGACCAGATAGGTGGGTAATAAATAAATAAATAAATAAATAAATTTAATATGTTGACCCTGCTTTTCACCATAAAACAGACTTAAGGTGTTGTAGTAGAGCCCACCCAGATCTTGTTTGCAGAAAATTCTATGCTCTAAATCCCAGGATTCATTAGGGTGAAATTGTAACAGTTAAAATGGATCCACACTTCTTCAGTTAAATATAAATACATACCTACAGAGCCATACATTCAACTGAAGGTAGAGAAACAAGTAGCAGTATATTTGTGCCTGCCTTGTGGAACTCTCTGGAAAGACTATCTGCTGGTCTTTGGGAAGCTGACCAAAAAAAAAGCCAAACTATTTTGCACAGAAATGGAGGGTGTTAGCCTGTCTCCTCAATTATTCATCCATTAAAAACATGATCCTGAATATCCTCCTGTTTTGTTAAATTTACAATTTTTCTCCTTCCATCCAGAAATTCATTCACTCTGTTCTGAAACTCTACTGGACTAATGTGGAGAATATGGATCTGCAAAATGCTCCAGAGGAAATGAGGAGAATAATAAATCTTTGGGTTGAGTTCCAGACCCATGGTAAGAGTCCTCCTTCTCCCCTTATTGCTTCTTCTTGACAATTTGTGATCTCCAACTGTTGTTTGTCAGATAATTCTTAAAAACAGCAACCAACCAAATCCTTGTCGGAACACAATGCAAGAAAAGAGAGAGGCCTCCAGATGTGCTGGAAGACAATCCCATCATCCTCCAGCCATTAGAGAATGCAATTGGAGTGTATTGGGAGACTTGGTCCAACATGTCAAGAAAGCACTTGGTTCAGAAGAGTCGTGTCTTACAATTGGGAAAGAGGGGGAAGTTAGTAGTATATTTCTGTAATATATAGTGAAGTACTTCATTTACTGATGCTGCCCCATTTGTCTTTCACAAATAGTAGACTCACTTTTTATCTTCAGTGGTAGAGTGAAGCATAATACCTAAAGCCACTACAAATAGAAATTCGTTATATCAAATTTCCTTGTAAGGTAAAATCAAGGATCTCCTCCCCAAAGACGGCTTTGACTACCTTGCCCAGCTGCTGCATGTGAATGCTCTGTATTTCAAAGGACAATGGCAAGTGCGGTTTGATGAACAACTCACAATAGAAGCTCCATTCTATGTACATTATGCAAATAAGGTGAGTTACATATATAGAGAGAGAAAGCTTCAATTTTCACCTTTTTCCGAGTTAAGAACAGAATTGGACCAATGGCTAGCTGGTGATTTTTCACCAGACATGTTCTGAGAATTTGTGATAACTGGGCTGTCCAAATGGGGAGTTGTGTTACCCCAGTTGTGTTACCCCAGTTGAGTTTCAACCAGTGCAGTTTGTTGGAAATTGTGCCCCTCACCCATCAGACGTTAGTTGCACTGAAATCCCATTGGAATCACTGCGGGTTAGCCTAGCCATTCATAGTAAAACTCATGAGACAAAATCTTGAGATGCAAACCAGTGGTGACAATTAGTAGAAGATTAAATTATGCACATTCTAGAAATGCCAAATCATTGCACTTTGTAGAGAAAACAAAGAATCACTTCCACTTCCTATGAGAATTTTAGCAGGGAGCCCTCCATCATTGCACTTTCTCATATTTTCATAGGATTAGCTTCCAAAAGCAAAACAATCCACCACCAATCTACCTTCAAATTTCTCTCCTTTTTCTTTTCAGAGGGATCGCCAAACTGTGCAGCTGATGAACAGAAAGGGGGTCTACAACACTGCCTTGCTTAATATTGGTGAGACTGAGGTACGGGTGCTGGAGATTCCTTACAAGGACAATAAGCTGAGCTTCTTTGTGCTGCTCCCAACTGACTGCGACCCTGAAACTCTCCAGCAGGTAATCCATAATGCTCATTCCTAGTGTAGTGTTTGTTTTGTTAATCTCACTAATTTTTTTATGGGCTAAGCCATCATATCACCTACCTCTGGTCATCCAAGTGATCAGCAGATCTTGGTGCAAGATTATTATCAGCAATTTATTCCAGCCCGTCTTTGTGATCATGTCTGAAACTTGAGTCAACTTAGGCAGAAATTATTCCACTGCCATTTCTGTTTGTTTTCCTAGCTGGAAGATTCGCTTACCCACGAGCACCTACTTGACTGGTCGGGTCAGCTGAAGCCTGCAGAAGTAGACGTCTTCATTCCCAAGTTCAGCTTAGAGAAGAAGCTTTATGCCACTGAATATTTGGATCTGCCAAGTCTCCAAGATCCAGAAAAAGCTGATTTCTCTCAAGCAACTACCACTGAGGGAGTGGCCCTCACTCAGCTGGTCCATGATACCTTCATTGAGATTGATGAAGAGGGTGGTGAGGAACCAGAGGCTCGCCGTTGCCCCAGGGATAGGCACCCACGTCAGGAAGCTGTGGAGGTTCTGGCCGACCATCCTTTCCTGTATTACATCCTCCACAGACCCACTCAAAGTATTATTGCCCTTGGAAAATTCGCTAAACCAGAATAAAGGGAAATATCTGATTTATGGAACAAAATCAATGGATTATGAATATGGAATACCCTTTTTAGACGATGGCATTCTTCGAAATCTTTTCTTTCCCCCACCCCTTTTTTTTTCTTATGCTTTCCAGTGTTAGTCAATGCATAGATTTGGGGAAAGAGTCTTTACGCTTGGTGGTAGTTGTAACTGTCATGGCATGAGAACGGTGCTTCAAAACCTGCTGGCCCTTGCTGTTTCCTTCTTTTGCTACTTTAAACCTGGTTTATTTATGAAAGACTGTACTTCCGCCTGTCCTCTGGAAATCGTTCTGGCTCTTTAGATCCAGATCTTCATTTGGCAGCTAATTGAACTGAAATATCTACAATGAGAATGGAAGAGAATTGATGATCTCTGAAAAGGATCAGTATTCAGAAGGTGCATGTCCCTGATCACTATAACATTGTTATGTAAGAAGGCTGCACTTGCTCTCAAGTACGATTCTCAAAGTAGCCAGACTTTTTATGATTCAAGTCATCCTGGTGGAACTCCAGTGAAATGTGGATTTTGCAAGGCTGATTCTAGATATTTTTACTCCTGATGCAAATAATAATAATAATAATAATGTTTCCACTTTTCTGGACTAGAGACAGGCAGGAATCTCCATAGCCTGTGACCCAGTCACTAGTCGGAGCATGCTCCTCTCCTCTTCAGCTGTTCAACCAGTCCCTTGTAGGAGCATGGGTTTGCCTATCATGCCTCCTTGCCTGAGTGGGCAAACAGAAGGAAGCTCATGCTCCTGTCAGGGACTGATTGAAGAGCTAAAGAGGAAGAGGAGGAGTGTGTGCCACCTGCTGAGTGGGGGATCCAGACAGGGAAGAGGGGGACAGGAACATGCAGCAGCTGTGCTGCCACATGTAGGAACTGTCACAAACCTACAAACCATGGCTTGTGTCCATCTCTACTCTGGGCCAAAGCTCTTTTAAAAAATAAGAAATAACACAGAATTGGAAATTGGTATTAGAAAAATATCACTGGCTGGAAACTGTTCCCTGGCTACCTAAAAGAGGGAAATACACATTTATGGATCGGAATACAGTGGTGCCCCGCATGACGACAATAATCTGTTCTGTTAAAATTGCTGTACAGCGAAATCGTCGTCATGCAGAAAAAACCCCATTGGAATGCATTGAAAACCAGTTAATGCGTTCCAATGGGAAAATACCTCATCATCCAGCAAAGATAGTCCATAGAAAAGTGCCAATCAGCTGTTTAAAATTGCTGTCTTCCAAAACTTATGTCCGGAAAACAGCCATTTTGCGAAGGGAGGGAAGCCATTTTATGAAGGGAAGCCATTTTGCAGACCCGGAAAAATCATCGTTTAGTGAACAAACGATTCATGAAGCAGGGACTTAATCAAAGTAAAGCGGATTTCCCCCATAGGAATCATCATTTTGCGATTGCAATACCGATCGCAAAAAAAGTCATCGTCAAGCGATTTTGATGTCAAGCTGGGTAAGTGTCTAGCGGGGCACCACTGTATGTTCTTTTGCCTGTGGTCAACATTATACTGTCATCCTATATGAATCAACAAGCAAGTAAGCCTCACTGAAGTCAGTGGGAATCACATGTGAGTAGACATGGATAAGACTGCCCTACTAAACTATATATTACAGTGCGACTCTTCCAACAGTGAAAATCTCTCTATGTATCGTGTGGGAACTGTTGCTTTTTTTTGAATCATATAAAATTGTTATATCTTTTTACTTCTGAAAAACATCACAATAAACTGAGCATTTTAAAAACTGGAATTATGTGATTTGTTTTGTAGCACAAGAAATGTTGCATAGTATGTGTTCTAATGCCCTGTTATGACAAGCCTGTCCAAGGCATTGAAACAATAGTGGAGACATCACATTGTATCAGAACGTCAAGCCATAAGATGCCCAGAAAAGAAAAGGCATTACAAGAATATTGGCATGTTAGGATTGTGTAAGACAATGTCTTCTTGGATCTCATTCTATTTTACAGTGGCATGGAAGTCTGGCTATTGGGCTTTGGAATTGAATGATCCTGGGTCTCTAAGCATGGTGGAAAGCAAGAGTTACACCTAGCATTGTAGGGGATTATTCACAAGCCACTGCATAGGTAATACCTTGCCCAATATGCCATGGTCTGTGACAGCAACACTTACACTACATGATATGAAGATGATGATAGCGACTGCTCTTGTCAAGTGCCCACATCCCGAACATATACATGTCAACAATCTGTTTCTACAAGTTTCCAATGACCCATTTTCTAAATATCCAATTATTGCTTTCCTGCTAAAGGATGAAGAAAGAAACTCTACACTATGTTAAGCTTCTATATTCAAAAGCATAATCTGCTCATTTTCTTTATAAAATAACTGTTTTCATACACATACCACTTTTCTGGAATATCATCAAGTCAGTCATCATCTGTGTTAATTTTAAAAAGTAATGCAAGTTAGATGCCTATGGGGGGCTGATATCATCACCAGGAAATGATTTTCAGAAATCGAAAGCTTCCTACTTCTGTCCTGTTGCTCCCATGTAATCCTTTCCATTTTGTGGAAGCCATGGGAGCCATAGGATTGGAAAAGGAAGTCTTTAATTACTGAAAATCTCTGACCCAAGGATGATATTACCAATGGCAGTGGTTTTGATAATTAAAGACTTCCTTCTCCCACCCTTCTCACCTCCCATAGCTTCTACACAATGAAAGGGGTTACACAAGAACCACAGAAGCTACATATAGGAACTGTGTAAAAGAAATAGGAAATGTTTAATTTCTGAAAATCACCCCCTGCTAATCATGTCATCAGCCATCTCCAAGTGTAGTTATGCCAACAGAATTTCAGCCAAAGATTCTAGTAAAAATGTGCTTTGGAATCTATTTGGAAAATTAACCAAGTGCGGTTTTCTGTTTCTGAACCAATCTGAGAAGACTTTTCCACAAAGTCCATATATCATGCCCTTTCCCCGATTAGAATAGCACACAAGAGGATACTGTCTCTCATTTAATCCAATATCCTAAGTTTTATTTAGGGCTCATCTGGTGTCCTGGACCAATCTGATACAATGCTGTACTGGCACCTTCCATCATCTCCTGGGCCCATGCAAATGGCTATACTTTGGGGGCAGTTTTGCATTAGTGCCATCGAATATGGAGACAAGGTAGACATCAAAGGGACGATCTGTGGTGCCTAATTGCAGATTTTTATTTTATTTTTTTTATGTTCAGGGTCCAGATACCCTAAAAGTTAATTTGTTATTATTTCCTTTAAAAAAAAAAACACCCTTTTCTTTCTTTCCACCTGCTGTTGTTTGCTGCTCAAAGCAGGCATGGAGATAAGGTCTGGGGGTGAAGAGTGCTCTTCAAACATCAGCAGATGGAAAGGTGTGGGTCAGAGTCCAACAACATATTGTGTTGCACACTACCCTTGTTTCCTTCCTACAGGGATCATTTGCAAGCCTATGCTGTAAATTACAGACTGAACCTAGCAGAATGCTCAAGGGAGAGAGAGGGTTCCTAGTAGGTTTCTGCTGGATTTCTACTGTTAGACTGAATGTAACCTCATTTGTACTGGGCAGGCATGCTTGTGAACAAGAGAACTTTTCTTGTGCAAAACTGTGATTTCTAGACCAAAAAAAGGAAAGAGTATATGGGAGCTAGATGACCACGTCAAACCGCTGTTTCTTAGGATGTTGTGCTGTGTGAGATAGCTGGGTTGCATCGTGTAAAGCAATTGCATAATCCTGTTCCCCTTTTGTGTTTCTCCGTTCCCCCTTGTGTGATCTTGGTGTGGCTGCACAAGCCCCATTTCAACCTGCAAAATTCTCAGCTAAAAGGGGGGGGGAGTAAAGGAAAAAGCCGGTGGAGAATCCGATGGAAGAGGAAAAAGAGGATGCAATGCAGAAGATATTTAAAAGCTCAAACAGTACCAGAAAAAAGGCAACTAAATAGAAACCAAACTAAGGGGTGCAGGAAAAAAGTGTTTTGAAGGTGAAATTAAGCTTTAAAGTGCAGTTTGAATTTTGTTGTTTTCAAACCAATTTGCCATTTTGTAAAAAAATAAATTAGCTTCAGCAGAGCAAGGTCACTGGAAAGACAATATTACTGGGGGGGGGGGAGCAGCAGAAAGAGGAAATAACCTAATCTGAGATGCTGTTGGTTTCCAAGATCTGAGCAGAGCTCAGACATTTTGGAAGTCAGTAATTCATGTAGAGCGAGAAAGATGGGGAGAAAGAGGGGGTTTGCCTCCCTTCTAGCTCCCTAATCTTCACCCCAATACATATTTTGGCAACTGAATGACTGTTTTGCTTTGAACGAATGTGGTGGTTAGAATTTGTAAACATAATTATGAGATTATCATAAACCAAGAAGTAAATGATGTAATGGATGGTTGAAATGGCACTCAACAGCACCATATTTTGGAAAAAATAAATATATGAATTACAGGTTTTCCTGCCTTTGGAATACATTGGTCAGGAATTGGTCTTTCAGAAACAGAAGTTTTGAAAATAAAATTAAAAAAAAAAAGGAAAAGAAAAAAAAAACATAGATGCATGACAAGAGTTTAGTTTCTAATCCAGAAAAACAAGGCGCAAAGTAAATGAGAATTTGCTTTATTGTTGCTCACCCAGGGATTCTTGAATGAGAGAAACCTGTATAAGTGAACAGAAATTATTTATAGGTTGAAGAGATGCGAATAAGTATAAATATGTGGCAGTAAGATACACACAAACAGAACAAGCATTCAGCAGATAATTGCAGATTCATGTTGCTTCAGGCACCAGACATCAAAGAAGTAGTCACAGTGTAAGAGCAGTTTTTGTTTCCAGATGCTGGCAACAATAAACAACATGGATTTTACATAGACTTTAATTGCTTTGGCTGGGGTTAGCATTTAGAATTGTTTTCTGTGTGCATGTACGCTTAGAGGCTAAGCAAGTTATTTACTTTAATATATTTTTACTGTTCACATCTTGGTATTTTAATATGCT